CAGATGTGGACCAGATGTGGATCAGATGTGGACCAGATGTGGACCAGATGTGGACCAGATGTGGATCTGATGTGGACTGATGGTCAGAATGAGCCAGCATATATCAAACTTTCCATCTTTTATAGTAAATAGAAATAATTGTATGGTTATTGTTTTTACACGTATCCACATTCCATGAACAAAAAACCTGTCCCGTTCATATAAATAACATAACAAACACAGACCATCCCCCTTTTTGGATTTCCTTTCTTTTCACAAATCACATCACAAATCAATGATTCATTTTTCAATAGCCAACACCATAACATAAATGACCCTCATACTGCTTCATTATTTGTTCTTTATTTTTTTTATATATTTTATATATTTTTTCAATTGAACATTTGAGCAACATTTCAATCATTGTCCAGAGAATTCCAGTTTCACTCTATAAACAGAAATATACAGTACATCTGCCTTAATGTGGTGAATATGGATTTTTGAAATTAGACTTCTATGATCTCGTTCGTCCTCATCGTTTCATATGAATGAAAACAGTTTTTAATATTTGGATGACATCTAAATATTTAAACGTGTGACTTGATGAACAGTCTGTTTATAAATCCTATTGCTCTTTTCTCTTTTCTAATATAATATGTGTGTGATGTTTTACCCCACACCTCTACGCACTAACCAACATATAGAGGGATTAGTGAACAATACACAGGCTGAGGTGAGGCTACTTTGCTTTGTACACAACAGAATTCCAACTCTTTCAGCACTGAACAATAATTCATTGATTTTACCTTCACAAAATGAAATTCTTCAAGAAATGACTATTCTGTATCATTTTAAATTATATATTGAAACTATAAGGAGCAGGATAAGAATGAGAAACTAATGAACAGTGTGTTCTTATGCTGTTTTTACTTTGGTCTTCTCTTTAGAAGGTGAATGATTCATTTTGTTGAGCATTGTTTTCCAAGAGGACTGGTGTTTTCTTTAAAATTAAAAAAATTTAATACATGTATGTGACGTCACGTTATCCTCATCGGCTTGGAATCGTTTGATTGGCTCAGCAGTGTGGGTGGGCGGCACCCGGCCTGTACGGAAGCGCTCCCTGACTGACAGCTGAGTTAACGAATGAACACATCGGACCCCGCTGTCGTCACATTGTACCGACGTGGAAGCAGGAAGGGATCCTCCTGTCAGGCTTCCGGGTTGTTGGAGTCCCCGCAGCGGCTGAAGCTTGTTGTTGTTGCGATGTCCGAGGATCCTGCGCTGTCCCTCCGGGTGTCGGAGATCAAACACCCGGCGGGCCTGTTCGAGCGCTACAACACCGAGGAGATCCGGCGGATCGAGCGCAAAGTCCGCGGGGAGATCGAGCAGAAGAAGGAGGAGTTGAGGCAGATGGTCGGGGAGCGGTACCGGGACCTGATCGACGCCGCCGACACCATCGGCGAGATGAGGCAGTGCTCGGAGAGCGTGGTGCGGTCCATCCAGGACATGCACCGGTACTGCCACAGCCTGAAGCAAGGCACCGCCGATGTGAGCAGCTGCAGACAGGAGGTGAACGCTTTACTGGAATAACTCGATCTGGTTCAAAGCACCGAGAGGATCACCAGACTCCATTTAAAACAAGTCCCACTTGATTTACTACATGCGTTACAGCCAATCAGTCACACCATTGATATCATCGCTCTACGTGCAGAGGGACTTAGAGCTAACCCTGGACACCTCACCTGTCCTGTAGGAGGCTGTCAGGGGACAGCATGGAGGATGTCCTCTGACCCTACTCCTCGGGGGTGACATGTCCCAGTCACAGCTGATACATGAAACTTTGGTGGCAGACAAATCTACCATTAAAACTACAAACTGCCTCAACACCTGATCTCTTGTATGTGAGAGAAATTCAATTCACTTGAAATCACTTAAATCAGCGGATGATTCCTTACTATTGCTTGTGTGACTCAGGAGGTACAGTCGGAGTCGGTGGTTTGATCCCCGGCTCCCCAATAGATGCACTTTGTGAATGACCAAACTGTACTGTGAAGAACTTTGAGAGGCCGTCTGCTCTAGAAAAGTGCTGTTTAAACACAGACCATTGAAAGTCACTCTCATCAAATGCATTAGTATATTACTGTACATCACTATGTTGTCTTATGTAATTATATCACTGCTAATTTCTGTCATATTAAAAGTCTTGTATCCTGCTACATATAAATGTGTGTGTGTGTGTGTGTGTGTGTTGTAGAGCCAGAGGCAGTGGCAGGAGAAGTTCTACACCATGTCCTCCCAGATAAAGCTCCTCTTGGAGATCCCAGAGCGCATCTGGAGCGCCATGGAGGCGTCCAAGTACCTCCAGGCCACTCAGCTCTACCTGCTGTGTTGCCACCTGCACAGTCTGCTGCAGCTGGAGACGGCGACAGCGGGCCACTACAGCCCTGTCCTGGCCCGCTTCCCTATTCTGGTGCGGCAGGTGGCCACCACCGGACACTTCAGGTACCGGATGTTTTCTCACTGATGATTTGTGGCTCTGAAGAAGAATCTCCGCATGTGAAAGTTGGTGAAAGTGACGTCATAGGTCAGTAAGCAGCTCATCTTCTTGCAGGTCCACCATTCTACTGGACAGCAGGTCTCTGCTGCGGGTCCGGGTGGTGTCAGACCAGGCGATCGCTGAGGCCCTGGTGTCTACCATGCTGCTGGAGGACAGCTCACCACGCCAGGCCCTGGCTGACTTCTTGCTCGCCCGGAAAGCCTCCATCCATCAACTGCTCAACCAACCACAGCATGGTACTCTACCATTTGCAATAAGCTGTAAATGGAAACGTGGATCGGTTCATGACCATGTTTATTTCTATCCAGGTGCGGGGATCAAAGCCCAGGTGTGCAGCCTGGTGGAGCTGCTGGTCACCACTCTGTTCCAGGCCTACGCCGTCTTCTACCTGCCCCCAGAGGGAAACCCCAGGCCAGGGGAGGGACCTCTGAGCTGTGGCATGCTCTTCTCTATCCTGGAGAATGTTACCTCAACCAGCCCTGCAGGTAAATAGCATGAACTTCCTGGAAGCTTAGACATTTTTTTGTTATTTCCTTACTAAGAGTAAGAGTAACAACCGGAGTGGTTCTTATCGATCGAGACTGTTCCAGCTCATCTACCTTCTGTATTTTCTAGCTTTTGTCAAAGGCAGTACTCAACTCATCTTAGCCAGACATGCTACACATGTTAATGATAATTCAGTTATTAATAATTCCTGTATATTGCTAACAGACTGTGCTGATAGCTGTAGCTTAACAAACAAAGCACTTTGCGGTTGGCCTTATTTACAAAGACGGCATAGCTGCCATACAAGTAGCTGAGACACTTCAACATGTGGACTCTCCACACTGGTGTTACTGGAACATAACAAACACAAATACAGTTCAGCTACTACATTATTTCAAAGTGTTGGTGATGCTCATAAACCATCATTCAATTTTATTCAACTGCTCCTTTGGGGAAATGTACAACCCAGCTCTGCTCTGACAGTTTTTTTGAGCAGGTTTATGTATGTTTATCCAAAACCGTGCTGTTACAAGCTTCATATGTTCATCAGTCATATATAAGAAGAAGTGGGTTCTTTGATGCAGTTGAAACGTGAGGGTTCATATTATTTAATACAGTGCAATTTGTGGAAAGGAAGAAAATCCAATGTCAACGTGTGGACCATTCATTATTAGAAATATATCAATTATAACCAGGCCCCAATAAATATCACTAATCCTATAATTATTATTATAAGTATTATTTTGATTCTATTTATATTTTTGTTTCTTTGCGTTTATGTTGCATGAAAACGTACATATTTTTTCACTTTTTCTGATGTCAATTTTTTGACTGTCCTTTTTGCAACACAGCATATTTCACCGTTGTGGGACTAATCAAGGATTATTTTGATCTAATCTAATCTACTAATTTAGTAGCCCATGGTAAATTAGGGGGAGCGCTGTCCTAACCTACGATCCCTGGCACCATCTTAGATCAGAGAGCCTGGTTGGTGACTATAGCTGTGGAATGACTTAACCTGCTAAAATTGGATTTGCTAATATCTGTTACAACAGGAAAAAAAACCTAAACACCCTCTCTTTTTATTGTTGTTTTATCCTTTTGTGAAGCACTTTGTGCGTAAAGCTTGTTAATATTATTATTCATAGTTTTATATATAATCTGAATCTGAAGAAAATGTGTTTTCAAGGCTTCTGATACAAAGTCTCCTCTGTTGATCTCCTCTCGCTGCTCAGCTAAAGTCAAGAAGGTTTTGCAGGAAGAGACGAGCACTGGCAGCTGGTTCAAGTACCTGCCTCCCTCCATCACTGATTTCCAGCCCACCCTCCGCACCCTGGCTCAGCCAATCCAGAGAGAGCAGCTCCGGGACACACTGCAACAGTGGATCAATACGTAAGGAAGCTGCTTGTCTTTTTTTTTTTTCCATATCAGCTGCTTGTCTCACAGAAACACTGAGGACAGTTGTTTTTCAAACTCAACACATCCTGCACAGATGCAGAACATACTAATGACAACACTGCGGAAAGTGTCTGTTACCGTCATTGTTGTAGTTGCAGGAGGTGCTGTGAACGCATCACGACACACCTTCCTTCATGTACAGTTTAATTTTGTGTGAACACGAGGGAGCAATAAGGGGGAGAGACAGCACAGGAGGAGCGGAGGCATAGAGTCTTTGGTACCTGGCATTGTTATCATTTAATGTTGACCTACTTACTGTGTGTGGAAACAGTGCGTTAAGCAAAGAGAGCGACAGAAAAACTTGCTGCAGATTGTAGAAGTCATGTTCTCCCTCACA